GGAGGAGATTAAAAAAAGGAAAAAAAAAAGGCCCCCTAAAAGTTTTTTTTTTTTTTTAATGGGCAAAAAAAATTGGGGAAAAATGAAAAAATAACTACTTTTTTAGGCAAGCATTTAGAAAATTTGGTGAAAAATGGATTAAATTCCACGCGTGGCGTTAATGGTAACGGTTTAGCGTATCGGAACTGCTTATACCAGCAGCTGGCGGTTTTCACCCGATCGAAGCCGTGGATTTTTAATGGCAAAAAATCCTTCGTACGCCTTCCTTCGGAGGGAAGTAAAGGCCAGCTGTCTCTGTTAGTAGATTTACTTGCATGTAAAAGATCCTCAGCCTCAAGACCCTCTGAGCTAAATTCAAGATTGCCTCTTTTCTCAGCCAAGAAATACCTCCTTTGTCTGCGGCTAACTGGTTGAAAGGAGTCATCAGCCGAACTTTGCAATGGTATAGACAGAAGAGCAGGCCTCAAGGCGCTGAAGTCTCACCACGTAAAATTAAGCATAAATCAATTCAATAAAATCAGAGTCATAATAACTATCAGGAAGAAATCACTAATATCAATATATATCTTTATTTCATGAAACAGACCTCTTTTATCCAGTGGTTGGACATTTGTAATTATTGGTACGCAAGCTGAATATCTTGAAACTTCCTATTTCAGGTATGCCTCTCTAGAACACAGCAATCACATACATAAGGCATGCAACATAAACTGCAAACATTCTTTAATTAATTAAAAAAATCTCAATTATCCTACAAACCTGAAATGTCGATGAAGATCTGAGAGTCCCGGCAATATTCCCTTGGGAAGTATTGAGTAAGTCATTAACGTTCGTGATAGCATTTGTTTTTTATCTTCTATTTCATGGACAACAGAAAAGTGTCTGCATATTATAATACTAAAGGAAGGTACAGAATGGCCAATGTTACATGTTCATCCAGTAGATTATGGAGAAGCTGAAACAGAACAAATTTTGTTACTTAACTATTCAACAAGTGTATGCGCCACAAAAACCAAATAAGAAATTACTTGGATCTAAGTTGAGTGAAGAGTGCGTGTGTCCAAAGGGTCTTTTCATGCACCTTCCAACTGTCTTGAAAATTGACTGGCAAAACCACAGTCAAAGAAATCACCAATTACGATCAACATATAAAATTATAAATGTGCCTCTGAACAGAGACGGACTGTACAGCATCATCATTCACACATTTCCGAAGAATACTTCTCATCCTAAAAAGAATTTCATATAATAATAATCAATACATTAAAATTTAAGAGATGCAGCACAAAACATATTATATGAATGTCATGATATGTTAATTATTTTATTACGTATTATATTTATAATAAGCATATAATTAAATATAAGTAGGTTTTTAAGTCATACAATACTTATTCTAAATTGCTGTCAGCAAGAACAAAAATCCTCTTCAATATGAACACCGAGTCCAAAGATGTACTGATTCAGCTTCAGAAGGCACCCGATTACTTCATCGCATTGTTCCATAAACAACTGTGTCCACCTGGAAATAAATGACAGATTTTGTTCATTTTAATTATCTCATGAAAATATCTTGCCACAAAATTTGGTTTTGAATTTTTTGACATTCTGCATAGACTATTTAGGGTCACAATTCTAGGAAAGATTGTTTAAACAATGTGACCAAGCAATCTTTTGAACAATACAAATATTTAAAGATCGTGCTCGTCACACAACAGAATTCCTTACACACTGCTCAATGGAATTAGACGAATAGAATTGAGTACACTACAAAATCCACAATTATGTGTCAATTTCTTTATTCGTAATTCTTTTTAAAATAATTTGCACCACTTCTTCATTATTTGTGTGTAACTATTAAGGACATCATTAATTTCTTTCATACCATGTCTGTGATTTAGGATGGTTCCCGCTGTGCAGATGGCTGGTAGATTTGGTGCTCAGGCGACGCTTGTTGACCAGATATTTTTCTTCAGCGTTACTTCTTTTATTCTGCCTGCCAGGGCTATATTTCTGCCAGCAACTTTGCAGTATGTTTTTTTCTTTCTTTTCTTGTTTTTTTTTATTTTAATTAGTTTTCTTTGTATATTGCTTTAATCATCATATTTGTTCTTGTCTTTTCAATCATTTTATGATCCATATTTTTGGGTCGCAAGTTGTTCGTGATACCGTCCAGATGGCTTTTTTTTTTTTTTTTTGTTTTTCACAAAACAAGAAACTTATATATTCGTATATACTTTGCTTCTGTCTCTGTGTTTATATACTTTGAAATGTGCCTCTCTTGTTCTCCTTATTCCATTGAATTGTTTGGATTTTGGAATCACTTCAGGCCAATTCATTGTAAATGAACGACTTATTTATTGTGGAGAAAAATGTTTAATTTTAGTGGATAAATGGTAGCTGTAGGCCCTCAAATTTATAATCTTCTAATGTTTTCTTATCTGAAACAGAACTTCCCTTTTTGTTGTCTGTCATTCCAAGAGTGCCGTAATTTTACATTCCTGATTCTATGGAACAAGTAGCAGAAAAACAAACACACATGCACCCTGCCGCCCTGTTTGTCCTAGAATTTTTCTTTTTATTTTCTTGCAATATGTAATGTATAATATACAGAGTAAATGTCTGTATATTGAGAAGTTAAGCAACTGGCTGAGATAATTGACAGACCAGAAAGATTTGGCCATTTGGATTCATTTTGGTAAAATTTCAAAGATTAGTTTCGGAACTAGTGTTCATCACTCAAAAAATTGTCACTTCAGCCTCAGCAGTGCTTAACTTTCTCTATATTACATACTCTGTATATATACTTACATATGCAAGAAAATAAAAAGAACAAATTCCTAGGACAAACAGGGGGCAGGGGGGTGCATGTGTGTTTGTTTTTCTCTACTGTTCCTAGAAATCAGGAATGTAAAATTACGGCACTCTTGGAATGAAGACAACAAAAGGGAATTTCTGCTTTCAAGAGAAAACAGTTAGAAGATTATAATTTGAGGCCTACAGCTACCATTTATCCACTAAAATAAACATTTCTCTCACAATAAATAAGTCGTCATTTACATGAATTGCCTGAAGTGTTCCAAATCCAAAAATTCATTAGAATAAAAGGAACAAGAGAAGGCACATTTCAAAGTATATAAACACAGAGACAAAGCAAAGTATATAGAATATATAATGTTTCTTGTTTTGTGGACAAAAAAAAAAAAGCATCTGGACGGAATCACGAAACTTGACGGACCCAAAAATGAGATCATAAAATGATTGAAAGACGAGAACAAATATGATGATTTAAAGCAATACAAAAGAAAACCATTAAAATAAAAAAAATAAAAAAAAAAAAAATATTGGAAGAAAACATACTGCCAAAGTTGCTGGCGGAAATATTAACCTGCAGGCAGAAAAAAGCAAGTAAGGCTGAAGAAAAATTATGGTCAACAAGGTCGCCTGAGCACCAATCTACCAGGCCATCTGCACAGCGGAACCCATCCTAAATCACAGTACATGAGTTGAAAAAATTAATGATGTCCTTAATAGTTACACAAATAATGAAGAAGTGGTCAATTATTTTAAAAAGTCAATAGAAAAAAGAAATTGACACATAATTGTGGATTTTGTAGTGTTACTCAATTCTATTGTCTATTCCAATTGAGCAGTGTGTAAAGGAATTCTGCTTGTGTGAGAACGATCTTTAAATATTTGTATTTGTTCAAAGATTGCTTTGGTCACATTGTTTAAACAATCTTTTCTAGAATTGTGACCCTAATATCCTATGCAGAATGTCAAAAATTGCAAACCCAAATTTTGTGGCAAGATCATGAGATATTAAAATGAACAAAATTGTCGTTTATTTCCAGGTGGACACAGTTGTTTTATGGAACAATGGATGAAGTAATGGGTGCTTCTGAAGTTGAATCAGTAACATCTTTGGACTCGGGTGTTCATATTGACCGAGGATTTTGTTCTTGGCTGACAGCTATTTTTAGAATTAAGTATGTAGTGACTTAAATAACCTAACTTATATTTAATTATTGCTTCTTATAAATATAATTACGTAATAAAATAATTACATATCATGTACATCATATCATATGTTTTTGTGCTGCAGTCTCTTAAATTTTAATGTATTGATATTATTATATGAATTCTTTCTTTAGGGATGAAAGTATTCTTCGGAAATGTGGATATGATGCTGTACAGTACCTCTCTTTTCAGAGGCACATTATATTTTATATGTTGATCGTAATGGTGATTTCTTTGACTGTGGTTTTGCCAGTCAATTTTCAAGGACAGTTGGAAGGTGACGAAAAGACCTTTGGACACACCACTCTTCACAACTTAGATCCCAAGTAATTTCTTTATTGTGGTTTCTTGTGGCGCATACACTTGTGAATAGTTAAAGTAAACAAAATTTTCTGTTTCAGTTCTCCATATCTATGGATACATGTAACATTGGCGATTCTGTACCTTCCTTTAGGTATTATAATTATGAGACACTTTTCTGTGTCCATGAAAATAGAAGATAAAGAAACAAATGTATCACGAACATTAATGATTACTAATATTCCCAAGAATAATTGCGACTCTGCAGATCTTCATCGACATTTCAGGTTTGTAGGATATTGAGATTTTTTTAATTATTAAAGATGTTGCAGTTTATGTTGCATGCCTTATGTATTGTATTTGGTGTTCTAGAGAGGCATACCCTGAAATAGAAGTTCAAGATATTCAGCTTGCGTACAATATTACAAATGTCAACACACTGGATAAAGAGAGGTCTGTTTAATGAATAAAATATATATTGATATTATGATTTCTCCTGATTGATATTATGACTCCTGAATTTATTGAATTGAATTTATGCCTTATTTTACGTGGTGAGACTCAGCCCTTGAGGCCTGCTCTTCTGTCTAACCACTCAAATTTCGCTATGCTCCTTTCACCAGTTAGCAGACAAAGGAGGTATTTCTTGGCTGAGAAACAGGCAATTTGAATTTAGCTCAGAGGTGTCATTGAGGCTTGAGGATCTTTTACATGCAAGTAAATCTACTAACATGAGACAGCTGGCTTTACTTCCCCTCCGAAGGAAGGCGTACGAAGGATTTTTTTGCCATTAAAAATCCACGGCTTCGATCGGGTTTGAACCCGCCAGCTTGGGTATAACAGTCCGATACGCTAACCGTTACATAATCGCCACGCGTGAATTTAATCCATTTTTCACCAATTTTTTTCAAATGTGCTAAAGTAGTTATTTTTCATTCCAATGCCATAAAAACTAGGCTCTTTTATTCATAGTAATTCATGAACATTTCAACGTATTTACTTTAACAAATTATAAACTTTTGCTGTCCTATGAATAGGACAGTGGGAAAAAATTATATCATTAGGTATGTCAAGTTTTCAAATGTTAAAAAAATTAGTTTTTACATAGCAATTGCATTTCATATTCATTTATTTATTTTATTGAGATATATGATTCAAAGAATTATTTTGGTATAAACAAAAATTCAGATGTAACAATCTGGTACAAATGAGGCACAAAAAATTTAAAATGGTTTCAATTTTTTGGTGGTGGTGGTGACGAGGCTCATGTTAGGGTTAGCATCTAATTTAACATCTCTTACTTAATTTATTAATTTTTTAAAGCAAATGAGTAATATATATTAATGTGTGAGTACAAAAAAATGTTTAAAAGTTATTATAAATGTTACGTAACTCTAATCTAAATACCCCCATCACTTAGGTAATGCTGACTCTCCCCCCTCCTCTGTTTGCATTTATGTAATTTATGGGTGTCCTCTAAGAGAAAGTAATTTCTTTGTGGTGTGGCGGGAGGCATCAAGAGATGGAGATAAAACTTTGGAAATTGTCGAGACTGGACGCTATAGAAGATTCTAAACTGAATAACAAACAGGCTGAGAATAATATCGAATGTATTACTAGTCTGGTTAAACTGAACTGGAATGATGATTATGATGAATCTAGGGAAAATACTATCAAAACATCATCTAAGATACCAACTTTGCCAAAACCTCTTTGAAAAATCAAAGAAATGTCCACTAGGAATTAAAGCTAAAAATGACTTTGACGTAATGCAGAAAAATCTTGTCAAAAAACTGAAAAATCGTAAGAATCAGATTCAAATATTGTTATCAAGTACCTTAAGGAAGTTCCTCGGATTGTGGATAAGAATGGAAATAGCAGTAACAAGCAATGTTGAGATAACGAAGAGGTGTGCAAACATATCACTTCTTCAAGCTTGAACTAATTTTCTCGTGGTGGTAAACCACATGAAAACCTACATTATAATAATTACTGAATTATGGCCCTCATGTAACCTATCTCAAGTAACTTGAAAGTTTGAAGTACCCAATTTTTACTTTTTATAGCTACAGACTAGAAATGTAGAGAGGGGGCCATTAGAGTTCAGATTCTGCGCGTAATTACACATTTTTTGCCTTTCTGTGTTGAGTTTCTCAAAATTGTGATCTTTGCAAATCATGACAATCTAACACAATACCAATTTTTTCTTTACACATTTTGCTTATAATTTACGTACTTTGCAAAATATTTATTCTTCTACCAATTTTTGTTTATTTCGCAAATAATTAATCCCTATTTCATTAATAATTCATCTCAATTTTCAAGAAATATTGATTGTTGGAAAATAATTCTATAGTGAATATAATTGTATAGTGATTGTTTGCCAGTCATATTTCCCTGTTTTGTACGAAGACTATCCTTGCTATCAAAGATAAAAATGTAACCTAAAAAAATTAATTTAGTAGGCCAAGAATATTCTTTTAAAAAATTTGTTTATTATTGAGGGATTCAACTCTTTTGATAACCCTCTCCTTGTTCTTAATGGTAAGTGCGGAATCTTGAATTCTAATAAAATGTGTTTCACATATTGTTAGTGAATAGTACTCTAAGTTTAAATTTAAATTATGATTAATTAAAATAACAAGAAATTGTATGCCTTATCATAATACGAAAAATGTATATTCATAAGCACAGGTATGAAAAAGTTTTGTTCTTTTTCTTTCCAGAGAAAAAGTGTATCAAGCAAAATTGTACTGTGAAAACTACTTGAAAAGCACAGGCATGAGATTAGATATGCGGCCATATGCTTGTGGAAATGCTTGTGGCTGTTGTGATATTTTTGGGTGTCCAACAGTAAGAAAATATTATTTTTTTATTGGTGTAATGTAGTGTTGTACTTTTATTTTGTAATTATAAAGTTTGTGCTGCCTTATAGGTTGATGCCATTGAGTACTACACTGAAGAGGAGGCTCGTTTGAATGAAGCTGTGGACACTGAAAGAGCGGCCTCATTGAAGCACCCCCTGGGGATATCGTTTGTTACTCTTGTGTCTGTGAGTGCGGCTAAAAAGGTTTTCTCTGACCACCAGCCAACATGTAAGTGTTCGCACAACCCTCCAAGTTCAAGTTTGAGTCGTCAGCTGGAGCCCCACAATTGGCAAGTGCAGTTTGCTCCATCACCTCAAGACATTTACTGGTAAGAGCAATCAGTCACTCCAAAATAAAAAGATAAAAATTGTATAGATTGTTTGCTTTCTCAAACATGTAATATTAAAAATGTATTGTAATACTGCAAAAATCTTTTGTCAAGCTTTACACAGAAATATATTGTGAGATGGGCTTTCCCACTCACCATGCATCACCTTTTGAATCATTCTTTCTGTCTGGGTCTGCATGATTGGTTTGCAGAGGGAGATTAATGCATATTGCACAAAGTCAGTCATTCCCTGATCCTTTTTATGGCATGGTGGAACAGTCTACCAGAGAGATACCCTTATTCACACGCTCTAATAAGAAAGGGGGAAAAACAAAACAAAAAACTGTTGAGTCAAAGGACTGCCTCCTACAGCTGAGGTGGGGGAGGATCCTAACCTGAGAGCAAGCTGAGTAGATTAAAGTAAAGGAGGGGGCACACAACACTGTCCTGGGAATCTGCAATGCAGAACACTAGTGAGGTGTCAGGAAAGATAGGGGGTTTCCTGATCCAACATATATGCATACAAACATATTTCACCTTTCCTTTGAAAATCTTGTATGAAATAACACCTGGGAGACTTGAGTACATCTTTTAAATTTTTAAAATTCAAAAATTTTAATGAAAATGACATTTCTACAATTAAATTCAGTGTATTGTCAACATTTACAAAAAGGTTCAAGAAAGTAAAAATAACCCTGACCTACATCAAAAACCTTCAATGCAACATCATGTACTCAAGTGAGCTTAATTCTGGAAAGTGCTTATAATGAACTGTTGGTTCTGATTCAGGTCATTCAGAATGTCTCTGAGTTTTGATGTAAATTGGACCTACGCTAGATTTATAAGTGCATTTCCACTATTTGCGCAAAAGAATAAAACCAATTTTGAGAAAATCTTGTTTAAATTATGAAAATTATCGAGATTTTACTAAAAATTAAGCAAACCTACTTATATTTTTTTTAAATTGTATATGACGTTAATTCAAAATCGAATGAAAAATATTTCATTAACAAAGAAATCTCCATCTTCAGTAACATAGAGGGTCAAAAAGAAGTAAAGATTTTGAAGTAAAAATCACTCCTATGCCTTTTTTATAAACTCATGTTGCTCTTTTCTAGAAGTTTGAATCAAAGAAAATTAGAGTCAACTTTGTGAAAATTTTTAAAATTTCTTACTCACTTTATATAAAGTAACATGATTTTTTAAAAATCACAGGATCTTAAGTGAGGCTAAAACAATCCAAGATTGTCCGTTTTTGACAAAATCCTGTGAACTGTTTAGGTATTAATATTTCCCAGAGACATTTCCCAGAGTACGGACAGAGACATTTTGTCAAAAACATCTTTTTACTGTGGAGGACCCACAAAATGTGTATTCTGATTACAAATTTCACAATCATTCAAGGAAATTACTTGCTAAATATGAGTGAGCAAAATCTGCTTATTTGGTAATATGGGCCCACAAAATCGTAATTTAAATGTCCCTTTACTTTTGTTCTAAAGAATTGCAATTCTTTCTCTATTCTATGCTTTCTATAGAATAGTAGTCAGGAGAATAAAAATGTCAGTAAAATGGCAGTCATGATAAATATCCACAAAAGTTTCAAGGAAAATCTTTGTTAATTATCCAGGAATCACATTCTCAAAATCATCTTTCGGTACTGCCATCCTGAGAAACATGCTCAATAATAAGTGAAATTTCATGTGAAAAGAGCAATGTAGATATTAAAAGAGCAGAGGCACTGAAGGTGAAATGAAATGACACTAGTTCAATTTGTCACCACCACATGGCAGCACCAAAATAATCCAAAATTACTTTACTAATATCATCTCAACAAATGGAACGATTTTCAATTAGAATGACATTTGATTTGTATTTAATGTAGAGTTTACGCTACAAAGCCCATTTTTCAAAAAGAATTTCAAATTGCACTTACTGGTTTCAGGATGAAATTAAAAAATGTGAGCTTAAAGCGTGATGAAGATGTCCACCCTGAATCAAACACGTTTATCAATCGTCCAAATCAGATGAAAATGTTTGTCGTAAAGTGAAATTTGGGAAAATACTATGGCCCCTCTCTCCCATGTCGTGCCACCTCCACCGCTACTGCTAGGGCACAGGCGGCTGCTGGGGGTGCTGGCACGTAAGCAGTAGGCATAGCATGGCAGGCAATTCTCTTGTGCCCTGACTGGATTTCGTCAGATAATGCTTTCGCTATTTTCTAAATGCCAACATTAGTAGTACATTCTCCGATACGTACGTATATTCTCTGTAATATACGTAGTATAGAGAAAGTTACGTAATGCTCCAAAAAAATCGATTTTGTAATTTCAATGGAAATGTAGGTTTTAGTGCTCCTAGATACCAAAAAAGTGTTGTTTTTTCTCAAAACATCTGTTAGTTTGGCCATCTGTGATACACACTGGTGCCTAAACTATTCCAAGAATTTTATCGAAAACAAATTTTCCCCGGTCCATCTTGCTTGTCTCAAAACTTTGCGAGTTTGAAAAAGATTTCTAAATTTCAGAGGTACTTTAGAAGTAGTCTCTGGGACATTTTATAAATGTTCTTAAAAATGGCCCCAAATTTTTTCTTCAAATTGGTTGTAAGAATGGATTGAAATTTGCTTCTTAAGATGGCATAGGTCCAATGTTTACTGTTAACTTTGAATTTTTTTGAAGATAAAAATGTTTTAATTCTTCTTGGTATGTCCTCACAACTACAGCATTGAAGATAGAGAATTTTTTCTTCAAATGAAATTTGAAGAAGATAAGTAGTGAAACAAGGTGAATCTCTGGGATTTGATATTAGCATAGTACATCATCAGCTGTAATACTGTACCCGCATATCAAGCAACTGAATCTGCTAGAGAACTTATTGTGACATCAGCAAGAAAATGTTAATGATGAGCAGAAAACAGATGAAGTAAAAGAAGCAAGTTAGACACCAACAATTTTTAAATAAGGGTTCAAATAAAAAATGTAGCAACTATATCATTAATGAACTTCAACTTCAGACGCCATCATTTCATTTAAACAATCATCACACACACAAAAATGTTGTCAGTGCCAGTATCTTATTGAATGTTCTTTGTAAAGTTTCATTCTTTTTTCTTTTTCAGGGAAAATTTATCAGTTCCATCAAATTACTGGTATATTAAAGCAGTTATTGTCAATTTATTTCTATTTATTGTTCTCTTCTTTTTGACAACACCGGCAATTGTTGTTAGTTTGCTGGAAACATTGAAAGTGTCTCACAAGTTGGAAAACATGGTATGTTAAAAATGATATTAATATTTTCAATATATTCAATACTACATTAGATACACTGAATTTATAGAAGTTGATTGGAAATAATATGTTATGGAAAGTGCAAATTATACAAATAAAGTGAATGCTGGTTGCAGAGCCCTATCCTTTCCGAGTTCCTGCCCACCCTCCTATTGTGGACGGTTGCTGCCCTCTTGCCAGTGCTGGTGTCCTATTCAGACCAATGGCTTTCTCATTGGACACGTTCAGAACAAAACCATTCCATCATGAGGAAGACCTTCTTCTTCCTGCTGTTCATGGTTCTTATCTTGCCGTCTCTTGGCTTCACAAGGTAATTACACATTTAAGTTGTTTCATTGTAAATTTTTCTTGCATATGTTGTCTTTTCAGTTTCAATTTTAACTCTCGTTAATTTTCTATTGCCAGTGCGCAGGCTTTTGTGGATTGGACAATTCATGCCCATAATGAAACCTATCGATGGGAGTGCCTGTTTATGCCAGACAAAGGAGCCTTTTTTGTCAATTATGTTACAACGTCTGCCTTCATTGGGACAGGATTGGAGCTGATTCGCTTTCCTGAATTATTTGTTTATGCAGTTAGATTGTGTTTGGCCAGGTAATATTTTATATTGTTTATAATGGTATGTTTCAATTATCTATGTGGTTTTCAATTTATTGATTGTGTGAATTTCTAAAGAAATGTGACGTTCCAAAGAATACTGTATTACGTTATTATTTATTGTAATCCAGTTTATAGTGTTAAAGATTAATTGAGTTTAATTCACTTCTAATTTTGACTTTCTTGATATCATCCACCCTCCTGTTACTATCTCGCCTTCTCTGTGTGGTATTGGTATTGTGGTTAGTTTTTGTTGGCATTTACAGTTGGCATTATTGCAATTATTTCTCTATGTGGTATTCCTAGGAGACATAAATCAGGGGGAATTTAATTAATATTAATGTAAATATATTCGTCAATTTTAATATCAAAGTGATATCTATATAAAGGATTTTGAAAATAATATTTACATGTGTGTAATAAACAGTTTGCTCAAGGTATAATTTTTTTTCAGAACTAAAAGATTTATAAACTTTTTCAAAGTAAAGAAATCATTATTTTATTGAAAAGATGTGTAGCATCTCTTTGATTGAATCCTTACGTAGTAATGAAGTAACCCCTGTCCATGTGACTCTCCGTCCAGCCATCTTTCTTTCACTCATGGTTAGAACTCTTCTGGCCCTCGAATTGAAACAAATATATCATTTGATGCATCTTGATTTCCAGGTGATGAATTGACAATTTTTCTGATCCTGCAAGATCATTCAACTAGAATTATCAGAAATGCTTTTGTTGTGAAGTGATTTAGCATCTTCAACTCGTTTGGGAGAGTTTTAAGGCACCTATATGAATGAGGCAGATCTATAGCTCTTTTGATTCCTTTCAAGTAGGCAAATGGATTGGCACTTTTTTTGCCAGATCCTGACAAAACCTTCATAAAAACATCTTGAAATTTTTTTTTCTTTTTTCCAAGGCACTTTCAGAGGTGAAACACTGAATTACTATGATTATTTCCTTTTCCGCATAGTGTGAATCCTTAAGACATGATTCATGAGATTGAATGTAGTTAAACATGTCTCAGTCATGGTGGGAAACTGGCCATTTTCTGGTAATGTACAAAAAAGGTGAAAGAGAAGTATCAAAAAAGTCTGTTTTTGGAGAGAGGGGTGGGGGATAACGCCTAAAGCGCTTTTTGTATGAGTTTTAAGGTACTTACAGAGGTGATCAATATCTTTTGTTTCATCTCCAAGGGGATTGGCACTTTTTTCTCCTGATCCTACTAGTGTGTTCTGAAAAAATGTAGTAAAAACATATTTTTGGCTGTTTCCAGGCACCCAAAGTGGTGAAATGCTCTGAATTACCAAATTGACATAACCCTAAAGAACAGCCAATAAGAAGATTTACAACCATAATTTTTTTTGTAATATTTTAATTCTTAATTGATAATTTTTCACGTACTGTGCCCAAGGATGAAAAAGCCTTGTATGTTTATGGTTTCTTTTTATTAACTTGCATAGTAGAATTTTTCAACTTATGAAAACATGTTTAGCTAATGTAAACATATTCCAGTCAAATTTGCCACATAGAATCTAATGTTTGTGACTTGATTTTGCAATCAGGTTAGCATTTTTCATTTTTTCCCCATTTCTTTATGTAAAGTTTGTTTGGATGACCAATAAGAGTATTCTCTATCTCATAGAAGGCTCAAGGAAATTCCTGTACACAGAAAAGGCATGATAGAATCATTGCAGAGTGAAAAATAAATTTCTATAATTTTACTTTCTTTGAAAAATGACTAATTTTTGTCATTTTTTATACTGTTTTCTCAAAGTACTAATAATGTTAATTATCAACCAATAATGTATTCTTATTGGCAAGTATCATACACATGGGCTTTAGTGCTTTGTTCTGCTTAATAAAGTTAAAAGGCAAGCATACTTCATACACTTATGATGTAGCATTGTCACTCTCCCTCTTTCTATGAAATACTAATATATTATGACTAAGGGATGTTGGCAGTGCAAAATAATAAACCTGACAATTCTTTACTATACAGTGTAATTAATTTTATGGAAGAACATTGTACAAGTTTTTTGAGGTTTTGACTTTAGTATTTATCCCAGTGGACTTTCACAAAGATATCTCCAATAGTTCTCCCATCATATTCTTCTATTGTTGTCCACAATACCATCTTTCTGATTCCTGGGTAACATTTCTTCTCTTTCCTCAAAAATTTGTTGTTGTTGTTGTTGTTGCTCTCGTGATTATAATTGAGCATTTGAATCCTATTCACCATAAGTGTTCACTAGTTTCTTGACCAGCTCCTGATAGTTTTGCACCTTGTGGTGGTTGCTAAGGCACGCCGTGCATGCATGCCCTCCATCAATGCAATAAAAATTCTCTAAACAGTCTTTGTCAAGCTTTTCTACAATTTTTTTATATTTCTGGAATTTTTTTGCCCCACAAAGACTGCTTAAAATTAAGCTTTCAATGTATTTCAATATTATACAGGTTTTGTAAAGAAGATATGGCAGAAGGAGATACTCATGTCTCCTGTGACCAGTAATAGGTTATAATACCTACAAAAAAATAAATGCATTTATCTATCTACCTGTCACTTTATTCTCTGTTTTTGTCTCAAATTTATGAAGAAAGAGGAAACCCTGTCTAGTTACTTGTGGCTCAGGTGCTGAAAAAGTAGCTAAACCCCAATTTTCTTTCTTTAACCTTCTTAAGAGTTCTAGTTAATAATATTACTCTTTGAGGATGAGAAATTAAAGGATTATTCTGTCATCTCCGTAGAAGTAAAATTAAAGCCTTTCTTTGTATCCACAGATCAAAAGCAGAAACGGCCAGCGTGCGCAAGGCCATTCTGTGGGAATTTCCCTTTGGAGTGCAGTATGCATGGATGCTTCTAATTTTTGCTATGACAGTTGTTTACAGTTTATCATGCCCTCTAATAACACCATTTGGTAAGTGTAAGCACAAATTTTATGATTAGTAAATATGATTACTAAAGCATTATATGCAGTGATTAATAAAAATGTTTTTAATTTTTAGGTGTCCTCTACATGCTTTTAAAACATTCTGTTGATCGCTATAACTTGTATTTTGCTTATGGGTCTTCAAAGATTAGCCCCCGTATTCATGCCAGTGCTATAAACATTGTTATAATGTCAATATCTCTTCTACAATTAAGTTTTATGATGCTTTCATATTTAAGAAGAGGTTTTAACGATATTACAATTTATTCTCTTATTGGATTTATCATCACACTTCTGTTTTTTTGGGCACAAATATTCTTTCATTGGTGCAAAGGATTCAGCCCCATAACATACCAGGTAAGATATTTATTTATGAATTGCAACAAACTGATAATGAAAGTCCTATGTTCGCAGTACAATACTACCATCCCAGATGTATACATTACATTCAAAGTAATTAATCCAGCAATTATGTATAAATAGGCTTTTGATTTTTTGAGCCACTTTACATGAATCTCGAGACATTTTTTAAATTTTCTCAAAAATGGCTCCACATTTTTTCTTTAAATTTGTTGCTCAAATAGAGCAATGCATACTTATAACATGGTGCAGGTCTAATTATCAGAAAAAGCTCTGAATTTTCGAAAATTGTAAAAGTTTAAAATCTTTTGAACGTAGCACACAATTGCAGTTTTCGGGATTGAGATTTCTTTCTCAGTAAAATCTTTTGTTGAAAATTAAGATATCATAATAATATATAATATAATATCATGTACGTGATTTAAAGGTTGTTGTTGTGCAATTTTGAGTGAAATTATTTCAATTTTAACAAAATACGTTAATATGATTTTTTTTAAAGTAGCTTCAATTTGTTTCTTTACATAATTGGCTCCGAGAGAACAAGTTTTTTTTTTTCTCTACACTATAGTGCAGCAAGAGAAATAACTGGTGTAATCTCGCCAATTGGATCTTGAATTTTCATTTTTATAATCCATGTTTAATATTCTTTATGCTGTTTCCTGTCAGGGTAAGGGTTTATTAGTGCTATTCTAAAAACAGTTAAGGTTGGTGAAGATGGTGAGGAGATACATGGGATTTTATATCCCAAAAGCAGGATTTTTAGACCTGTCTTTCGTCTTGTCACTGTGATATGGTACTCAGTTGGGTTCCAGGCCATATGAGAATCCTAGGGAATGAGCTGCCCGACCTGGCGGCAAAATCGGCAATGTTGACATTCCTTCTGTACATTGTCCAACGTTAAGGCATTTTTGAAACGATCCATCTTTCGAGCGTGGCCAACAGAGTGGCCCAACACCACTTTTAAACTAAGTATGATGGATTATGTTAATGAGTTCTTGGCTGTCCGGGTGACGCCGCATCGTTGGCTGAGAGGCCAACGTCGTTGCCTTATATGAGCACAGAATCTTTCATAACTTATTTTGTTACCACTTCTTTAAGTCGACCAATAATAGACGAGTCGGTAAATTGGGAGAGCATTAACAAAAACTGCAACGAACATCGCCTTTTCCATCGAAAGTTCTCATAAGACGAGTGTGTTCTGGAAAAGCAACGTTACATAACTGACAAATATTGTCACTTTGTGGAAAGAATCAATGAGTATTGAAAAGATTGTCATGATTACCTCTGTCCGAACGAAATTGAACGTTTTCGTTACGAATTTCACGTTTTACTGCACGCCAGACTGCAGAAAGGTGCTGGGAATTGCCTGGCAGCGCCCCGAATTGAGCTTTGAATGCGCCCAACACATTTCACTTATCTTCTGTGCACGATGGCCACGAAACTGTTCGACCTCTGCTTTTCATGACATGTAAGCTTCATGTTGAACGTCGAAAGGTTGGATTTCGAGAAATCTGACAATGGGCAAATATTTTTGTCGCGGCCACCCAGCTGCTGATACGATCTTTTGGTGACGCTCGGAACCAACAGGAAGCAGTTGACAATCAAAGATGTCACAGAATAAATCACAGATTTCAAAGAAATTTGTACGAAAGAAATGAGTCAACTGACAAGGAATTCGCGCGGCCTTTTTTGAATCTCCTGAGCGGGAAGTTTGAAATGTATGCTGTTGTCATGAGATGTCTTCAAAGAGTAGCGATACTGAGCTGGATGAAGCGTGGCGCAAAATTTGAACTAATTTGGCGGTCAATTTGCCAACAGAATAAATATAAGATAGTGTTCAACATTGTATAGTAAGACCTGCAAATTAGATTGCAGTAGGTCTACGGATAAGTAGTTCGTCCATGTGGAACTACTGACATGTTTAGGGAAGTCCATAACAATTTAAAGAAAGTTCATTGATGAATCGTCAGTTGTCCAATTCACAGTAATTTAATCGTATATATAGTGACGTTCGGTATATTCACCAATCGTCCCAGCCGCCCACGCAACCGTTGCACTGCGAGAATGTAAGATACACAATACGCATGTCGCAGTGGTCAGTAGAAGCGCGATCTTGTGTCGACTGACCGCGACAGCTTGCGTCAAGCTTGCAGGGGCAGTTAACGCATGCCGAATAGTCGTGGGAGGAGCATGACGTCACGCCTCCTCTATTCTCAGAAAGCTGCCACGTAAATACAGTAGATAGCAGGTCAGAGGCCCTTGTTCTACGAGCCGCCATGCGAATAACTTGCAGTAGAGAAAGACGTGTAAACTGGCCATTTTGAGCGAAGGATCTGGAATCGCGTATTGGCAGAGTATAGTGGAAGTATTGAGAATTGGAACTGTGTGGCGAGCGTATTCAGTTACCTGCTGAAGTAAATGAGAATAATTTTCATCTTTGAAGCGAAGAGGTAGAACTGAGTTTGTACAAGTGACTGTGGAGCATACAAGTATTGTGGGCAGACGCCGAAACTGTTGAAAGTTGTGAATCATTAGCGAAATGCAAATGAACATTACTGCACGTAGGCTGCTAACGTTGCAAGCGCGGAGAGACGGAAGACGTGTATTCCCCTGGTGGAGAGATGAAGAAAGAAGACGGAGGACGAAAGCAGGCGTTAGTCGAACTTCGGGACGTCTGGAGGTCGCTGCGATAGACGGAGGCGCCGCAGGTAGCGGCCGAGGGGAACGGCGCCTCCAGCGCTTTGCGGTGTGCATTGGGTGAGATCAGGCTGCGATGCGAAGGCCAATAGCGGGGTAAGACAGACTGCCGTGCTCATCTACAGCCAATGTAACGAACGGAACTTTTGTTAACGAAGGCTGCGGAGTGCACCACGACCTCGCAGGTCGATGACCGCGAGCTGACGCGCTTGAGGCGTCCTTGCTACCAGATGGATTCAATCAGAAGCATCGTGAATAATGAAGTGTAAAGGGAACTTGTGCCAACTTGAACTGATTTTAGAGATTTTAAAGAAAACAGAAATGTGATCCACAATAATTAGTTAAAAGCATTGAAAACTGTGTAACATGCGTTGTTGCCTCCTGGTCTTGTGAGTATTATTGCCTGCAAGTCTTGTGAGGCGGGGGTGGTATAAGAATATGTATGCACCTACCACACTGTGATTTTAGTGCTCATAAGTACGTGTAGTGATTGTTAGATTATTGAACTTTGTTGAAAATTGTATTCGTTTACAAATACATTTGACTCTATTAAACATTTTATTTACGTCTTTGTTTATGTTATTGTATGTTTGACTATCTGCTACTTTGTTCAAGCTTGAATATTTTAGCCTTTTTATATTGAAATACTTTTAATGAGGGGGCGGCGAAATTTTCCTTCCACCCCGGATGGCTGGCACCCACGCGAATGCCAGTAAATCGATTCAATTAAAAAAGACACTTTGTCATGGGCGCAATGACCTCGTAGTTGGAACGCCTCTAAATTCCAATTTATCAATCTAAAGACGTGCACGGAATAGTGAAGTAACATTTAATCAAACTTTGGACGCATCAGGTATGGAAGGAGTACGCATTCGTTCGGAGAATGGAGGGAAGCATCGGAAATCGTCAATGTCAGGATGGCAGCACGAATAAAACCGACAAGCAGTTCGTGCCGGGATCTAGTGGCAAAAAGTGCTTCGTGTGCAGTGGAATAAGTTTAATAAGCGTTTCAAAGTTGATCACATTGCAAAAGCTCGTAAAAATGTCAGTAAATACAAGTCATTAAAACGAGTCAAAACTCATTGCCAGTGATGCGAGTATCAGTGAAGTAGATCTTTCTAAAAGCTTGTTAACAGGAAAA